GTTGTTACAAGAGGCAGTGACTATCAGTAATGGCTGTTCTTCTGCAGTCCAGTCACTCTGAAATGGGGCTCTTCAGTTTGCTTTAAATTTACATTTATTTAATTTGATAATTTTATTTAAACCTGTTTGTTTAAACTGACCTAAAAGCACTTTACACTGACTTTTGTCAGTTTATCTTTATTAAAAGCACTATTAACGGTTTACTGATACTTCACCAGCAATTTATGGACATGCTGCCTTAAGATTTTTTCTTTTATCTGATGACATTTCTGTTAATAATCCATTTATGTAAGAGCAGATCCCTCCATATTATTTATTGAATAAGGTTGTCAATTTGAAAAATGCTTGCTGTAGGTTTCATCTTGCATATTTATGACTTCTGAACTTAAGTAGTTGAAATAAATGAAATTTCCTTACCTCGCTGAGTACAGTGCCTTTTTTCAAGAATTTAAACTTGTAGGCTACAACATGGTAATCATGTGATTCGCACCTTTGCCAAGTGGTAAAGAAGGATTATAGCTGCATTCTTGTGGATTTTCTGTTCTTTCTCTCATTAATTTGTGATTTTCCGCCTTAGATGGGATCATTTTAATCACATACTTAATGCTTTGTGTATATATTTAAGGATGCACTGTTAAATGCAATACACGGCAGACATCAGCATTTAAAGGAATATTTCACCTAAAAATGAAAGTCTGCTCTGATTAGGAAAGACATTTACAAATTTGCTTCTTGGACGGCCTCTTTAGCAAACAGCTTGTTTAGCAAATTTTCATTTTGCGGTGAACTATTCCTTTAAGATTAAATTTTAGCAGTTTTCTGCTCTCTAAAAAGAACAAGCTGTTTTGCCCTCTGTTCTCAAACGGGCTGTTAAGTAACCCTAGACATGAACAGCCTGTTCCAATGCAGTACATTTACATTGTCAAGATAACAGCAGCAGGCTTTAATGATAGATCGACACAGATTCAATAAACACACATGGAACATCCCCTTCTAATTAAGGCTTTGGCTATTTCAGGTACACCCTTTAATCTATCACCCTTTAATCTAAAATACACTTATATTACTCATTCTAACTTTTATTGCATTTTCCCTCACTTATGATTTACACAGAACAAAAGAGACCCTGATGAGGACGACGAGCATGCAGATGAGCTTCCCTGAGACGGTTTCTGACAGTTTGTGCAGAAATTCTTTGGTTATGCAAACTGATTGTTGCAGCAGCTGTCCGGGTGGCTGGTCTCAGATGATCTTGGAGGTGAAGATGCTGGATGTGGAGGTCTTGGGCTGGTGTGGTTACACGTGGTCTACGGCCGGTTGGATGTACTGCCAAATTCTCTGAAACGCTTTTGGAGACGGCTTATGGTAGAGAAATGAACATTCAATTCACGGGCAACAGCTCTGGTGGACATTCCTGCAGTCAGCATGCCAATTGCTCGCTCCCTCAAAACTTGCGACATCTGTGGCATTGTGCTGTGTGATAAGATTTAGAGTGGCCTTTTATTGTGGCCAGCCTAAGGCACAGCTGTGCAATAATCATGCTGTCTAATCAGCATCTTGATATGCCACACCTGTGAGGTGGATGGATTATCTCGGCAAAGGAGAAGTGCTCACTAACACAGATTTAGACAGATTTGTGAACAATATTTGAGAGAAATAGGCCTTTTGTGTACATAGAAAAAGTCTTAGATCTTTGAGTTCAGCTCATGACAAATGGGGGCAAAAACAAAATTGTTGCGTTTATAATTTTGTTCAGTGTATATTGTACATGTTAATTTTCATAATCGTTATAGTATCTCAGTGCACTGAAAAATTAATTTTTACTCAGAAATTGCTTGTAAATTTCACAAATAATTAAAAAGAAATGGCAAGTAACACATTGCATTAAAAGTGAAATTACAAAGACAAAAATGTTAAATGTACTCCAATAATATTGTTTTATTTTAATATTATTTTATTGTTTTTTTTATTTATAATTAAAAAAAACTGAATTAATGAATTTTGACATTTTCTGATGCTTATTATAAGTACATTTGTGTGGTTATAGCTCAGTATATTAAGTATAGATTTAAATGTGATGTCAACATTTTTATATAAAATTATTTTTCATAGCTGTATAGTATGATGTTTTTTTATTATTTGAGAAAATACATCAGAATGTGTCAGAATATTGTTTACATTTTGTCTATTTTCTTTGGTCAAATTATTTATTTTATTCTTTGAATTTTGTCAAGCATTCATTAAAAAAGTAGTCTAAACTATCAGTGAAAAAAATCACATTCTGCCACATGGAAACTGCAAGTCAAAGAAATTATATAATGGATGATAGATCATAACATTTGTGCAAAAGAACACATAACCGATGTTACAGATATAAACAAATAATTACAAAGTGAATAAACAAACATTAGATTTGATTATATAAAAGTGCTTAGTCACTCTGAGTGAGGATATTCAAAACTGTTTTGTCAGCATCCATTTATTATTCAAGTCATCCGTTGACGTTACTATCCAGTAGAGGGAAGCAGTGTAACACAGATCAGGAGGTGACAAAGACAGGTTTAGATCAACACCACCTTTAAATTGTTGAGACTTCAGTTCATGAAAACCTTCACTTGCAGGTGTTAAGATGGAAAGACAAAACAAAAAGCCCACAGAGGGACAGATTATGAAGTTGCAAGTACCACCAGAATAGCAAACACTTTTCTACAAACCTGTGACAGCCTTATTTGAATATGTACAATTGCACGAGGCATGGTTTAATAATCTAATTGTTTAATAACCTAAAAATAATGATCAAAAACCTGAGCTAAAAACACAGAATTATGTCTGCATTGTTGTGCAACAAGCTCCAGTCGTGCAAACATCAGATATAATTGCATTGAATCAAAAAACGGAATCATAAAAGCACATAAAAGACTGTCATAGTGAACTGCAACAAACAAAGGCTTTCTTGTGTGGTTTTGTAAATGAATTGCAACTGGAAAGCAACAGTTCCACAGGCTGCAGGGTTACATGTGACAGACTGACTGGGAGTGGAAGAGCTGCGCATTCTTTTTGGATGGCATAAGAGTTCCCTCCTTGTGGACTGAGAATCGGAAAAATCATTGCTATTCTGCCAAGAATACAAACACATAGTTAACGTGAATATACATTGGCATATGTCTATATGATCCTGTGCCTAATAGCCCATTTGATATTCCCTGGGGATATTTTTTTTTAAGACTGAGTAGTGAATGCTGGGAGGAACTGGATACAAACCCCTCTGTTTGGGCTGTTTAGGTGTGGATTACCACTGCATGCATAAACAAAGCATAACAAACATTCAGAAAAAAGACTAAACTATCACAATACAAAAACTTGAACATGTGTGGACATTTCATGTTTACTACATGAAAACATCTGGCATCACTTTGTGATCTTAGTTTCATCCAATAAAGCAATTGTATAATTAATCTAGTTTGGCACAACAGGAAATCAAACAATGTTATCAATCCAGCCAAAGGAAGTAACCTTCAGATGTAGCCAAAACCAGATAATGCCCATGCAGCATTCCTACTAGTGTCATGGCACTTGACTAATTGTAGTCTACAGTGCTTTAAAGAATGGTATACCCTGGTAAAAAAAATAATAGAAATAATTCAATTTTAAATGTCAAACAATGTGGGATTAACACAATATTGTGTCGCATGTGGCTTCGTATCGAGTAATTTACAAATTAGACGCAACATTGCCTGTTGCTTTGTCTGTTTTTGCTCCACCAGTGAAAATAATTCCAAATGTCAAAGTAAAATCAACCTATGCATGTCTCTAAAACAATACACTATAGTGGAGTTATTGCAAGAAGTGTTTTAAATGAATACTCACTCATAAATACAGTCACTTGTCGCCACCTGCTGGTGTATTTTGTCTGTTTTTGCTCCACCAATGAAAACAGTTCCGGCATCAACCATTACATGTCTCTGAACAAAATAGCAGTAGCATTACTGAATAAATCTGTGTTTTACATAGATCAGTTGAATGAATGATTCAATGACTCATTCATAAATACAGTCACTTGTCGCCACCTACTGGCATAACGATGTAACCTGCAGAAAGGATCAATGAAAATTCCCTCTTCATTTCAGAACTCTTGGAAAACAGCTGGGCTAATCTAATTTGAGGACGAAATGAAGTACTGTGAAAATATTAATCTTTTATGTGATATCTAATACACATGACTACCAGGTCATATGTAGTGATTTGTCTGTTTTTGCTACACCAATGAAAAGCTGAAACACTGGTTGATGAAAACAGTCGAAACTAGTTGCCCATCTCTGAAAAAAATTATAGCGCGTGACTGAATGGGTGTTTTGAATGAATTGTTTGAATGAATTGTTTGAATGAATGAATGAACGATTCAGCAGAACGCACCACTGAAAATATCAGTGCTCTTGGAATACCGCTTAGCCAATCGAATTAGAGCATGAAACTAAGTGCAGTGTAAATATTCATATTTTACTATCATATTAGTACCATAGTCTGTTTTTGCTCCACCAATAAAAAATAGTCATAAAAGTCGAAACAGGATCAATAAATACAATAGTTGTAAAAAAAATACGAATTAGCGCATGAAACTAAGTGCAGTGTAAATATTCATATTTTACTATCATATTAGTACCAGTCTGTTTTTGCTCCACCAATAAAAAATAGTCATAAAAGTCGAAACAGGATCAATAAATACAATAGTTGTAAAAAAAAATAAAATAAATAATAATAATAGTTTCCCTCTGTAACCTAAAATATTAGGCATTTATGAATGTGTCTGTGACAGCAATGAAGTGTGTCAGTCTCTTGAGCGCTACAGTGGACTCTTAACTTTTATAAAGAATATCTCTTTGGTTTTGAGACTTTAGTGTTTGCAGCTTTACAGATCTTCTTTATGCACCAAGAGCTTGTAACACTCCAAAGAGAAAGGAAAAACTGAAATCGCATCATATGACCCCTTTAAAGTCCTCAGACATTCCTATGCACAGTATGCAGTGACACCTCTGCAGCTATTGTGCTCACAGGCGGCTCCGATGCTGCTGTGCTGCTGACGGAATGGCTGACTGAGTTTCCCGCCACTACAAACGTAAACGCAACTTTGTTTCACTAGTGTTGTTGCAGGGCTCTGCAAACTTAACAGTCATTTTATGAAACCAGAATGAAGTTTCACCCGGTTTCGCGTGTGAGACGGTTTTCTGGTGTGACTCTGCAACGGTGAGTTGTTTCTCCTATCCTTGGCACGTGTTATGTTATGTTTGTAGTGATAATTCTTGTGTTTATGTGAATATACTACAGCTGTACGTCAAAATCACGTTTGATGTAGCGTGTTAGTTGATCAATTGTGTTGTCTGTGTACTTCAGTCGGAAATTAGTGAAAGACAGGCTGTTTGTCTTCTTGCTACTCGCGCATATTCATTCACCTCAGTTGTTTTATTTCGTGTATATGTATACTTTGTTATAATATTTACTTCAAGTGATACCATGGTACTAGCATGATACCATAATACCATGTTTTGGACATGACCAAAACCATTGTTGCTATGGTACTTTGTAACATTTTTTTGTTAGAAACATGTTCTCAGTGATCAGGCAGGTGTCACAGGTTTGACTGTAAAAGACTTGTGGTGATGTTTTTAAATCGTGTGTGACAGCATGATGATGATCAGTTTTCAAAATTGCATGCGTTTGAGGACATATTTGAGTAAAAGGTACTTTCTCCCAAAAGCACACTGAGGCATTTTTCTGTCCCCCCTTTCTGCCTCTACAGGCTCCCCTAAGTCTAGGTTGGTGAAATCGGCTTCTAATGGAAATCTTATGTTTCTCTAGTAAAGTCTCTGCTGTGCTGTGACTGAGCTGACCAGCTCTGTAACCTGATCTTGCACGAGTGATCCTGGGGTTTGGGCTCTTTAGGCTCAAACTCATACAATTAATTTTCATTTACCAGCCTGGAAAATGTGAATAGATGGAAAACTCCTCTGATTCAGTTCACATGCCACATCGTTTTTATTAAAACTCGATGGAGAAAAACTTTGAGGCGAGTAGTACTCGGTTACTGTTCTGGGATCAGATGGGAACTTTTGCTTTGCTGTAAACAAGCCTATAAACATAGACCTTTGATCAGTTATGCCCAGTGTTGGGGAAAGTTACTTTTAAAAGTAATGCATTACAATATTGCATTACTCCCTAAAAAAAGTAACTAATTACGTTACCTAGTTACTTTTTATGGAAAAAACATTAAAGCATGTCAACATATTCTGTTACACCAAATACACAAAATAATGAGCTTTAAAAAAGCATCATATGACCCCTTTAATATAAGAAGTTCTATTTATAGCAAATGCATAGTAAATAATGTATGTATTTATAGCCCTTTCGCATCAAAAAGTGTAATGAATAAACCTCAGGCTGAAGCAAAAGTAAATTCACGTCTGTACAGTAGAACGCAGGAGAAGAAACACTCTTCAGCAATAAAAAAACAAAGCACAATTGTTAGTTTATCTAAAGTCATTT